TAATTTGTTTCTTCCCTTCAAGGTAAAATCAAGTCATCTCCATATATCACCACTGGCAGCCGGCTGGCTAGCAGGCTGGTGGGAGGACGCGCCTTGGATAAAACTCTGGGGAGGTGGGTCATGGGAGAGGGGTGGGGAAGCAGGTCCTTCCTGCGCCAGCATCATCCAAGTGAGGGCCCGGGACAATATTCCTCTGTGATTTGGTTGGGCATCTCTGGAGAAGGGTCGAGTCATACACTTTGATGCTAACTCACGTGTCTTTGGACCAGAAGTTCTCAGAACAGAAATGAGTCAGCTTTCTGAGGTTGAGATCATGTCTGATTTTCTGAGTGACTCACTTAACATTCATTCATTCATTCAATAAATAATCATTGTTTATGATGTAGCAAGCACTGCGCTTGGCATAGAGGACACAGTAGTGGACAAGAGAGGAAAAAAAAATCCTTCCCCTTTAGGAGTTTGCATTCTAGGGTGCATTTGTGTGATGTGTGTTGAGGCGGCTTCCATTTTAATATGTTTGTGTGTTTGCAACCAAGCAAAAAAATTCTGAGAGGTGCTTTGCAGTAAATGAAGCAGTGTGATGTATTTATTAACCAGGGATCGAATGGGGGCTACTATGGATTGTGAGGCCTCTCTGCACAGGAGGGATTTGAAGGGACACCTGAGTTCATGAGGATATGAAAGAGGCAGCCAGGCAAAGAGCTGGGAGCAGAGTGTTTGTGACCAAAGGAATAGAAAGTGCAAAGGTCCTGTGGTGAGACTGAGTATGGTGTGTTTGAGGGACAGAAAAGAGAACTGTGGACAGTGAACAAGAGAGGAAGCTGCAGGAGGTGAAGTTGGGGAGGTGACTGAGGCCAGATCGTGCAGGGCTTTGGAAGCCGTGGAAAGGAGTTTGGGTTTTATTGGTTCAACCATTTATCCAGGCAATCAGTAAGTACCTCCTGTGCACCAGACACTGTCCTAGGAGTTAGGGATACAGTGGAGAAGTAATGAGATGTGGTCTCTGCTTTCATGAGATCGCATATGAGGGGAAGCCATGTCTTCTTGTGAGATTTAAATAAAACTAGCTCATAACCTCTATCCGGTGCCCTCCCCAAGAGATCTTTGACGTCTCAGGAACTATATTCTCATGGTCCCTTCTAGCTTCAGACTCCTGCTTCTGAGGAATTATCCTCTCTATTTGCTTTGCTCTGGGTTGCCCTCAGTCTCTACCCAAAGAGCATTCTGGATATACGCTCTGCCAAAGACCACTCATACCAAGCATTTGTGGGTACATCATACTTCCCTAAAGGCTAGGATTGGCATATGAGTTTGATACCACCATGCAAAGAATTTCAAATTGAATCTAGTGTACCGTTTATTTAGGTTCCTGGTCCACCCACCATCTTGCATTTCTTAGTACAGACCAGCCCTGCCACCATATTACCAGACAGTCTTACCTTGGAGGCTCCACTCGCTTGTGCAGATTAATGTGATCCTTCATGCCCTTGGCATGGGCACCATTTCATGGGTGGGCTGTCCATGCTATCTGTTCATGAGTGTCACCACTGAGTGGCTCAGAACTGGCAGACTTGGTAATAATAGCCTTGCGCTCCTCCTCTTCTCAGGCTTTTGAAGTGGAAAGGAACAGTACCCAATACCTAGCACAGTGCCTGACCCATGGCAGGTACCCAGGAAATATTTGTTGAAGAAATATCCAATGAGTAGGGATTTTCCCTGTGGCCTTAAAAGAAGAGCAGCTAGGGCCACTTGGGTTTTTATTATTATTATTTATTTTGCTACACAAATACCCAAGCTATTATAATGCAGTGTACCGTGTTGGGATAAGGGTAAACAAGGAGGGCTCTGGCCAGCCTGGTGGGAGTCTGAGCTGAGATCCTAAAGAATTGGCTAGAGAAGAGGGTGGGGGAATAGTCCTTGACAGAGAGAGTGGTGTGTTCAAAGTTCTGGTAGCAAGAAAGGGCCTGTCTGTTGGGAGAACAGAGGGAAGTTAGGCAGGGTGGGGGGGCAGAAGTTGGGGAGTTGGGGCTGGGGTGGAGAGAGGTAACTAACATTGCCTTGTAAGTCCTACGGAGAAACTTGAGAACAATGGGGAACCATCAGTGGATTTTATTAGGGGCATATCTTTTGCCTTGACTCGAGTGTTTTTTTGTCTGGGGGGTTAATCATCAATACCTGACAGGAGTGACCCCCTCCTGTGGTGATCCATCCCTGAGCCTTACCTCCCATGCCAACAGCCCCAATTTGAAATATCACCTTTTCCCACAATTTGGACTGACTCACTTAAGACACACTGTATTTTGCTTTGTTGGGAGAAAGACAGAATAGAGAAATAGTTAAGAGTGAAGGTTCTGGAGTCAGGCTGCCTGGGTCTGCCACATACCAGCTGTGTGCTTTGGGAGCAGTGTACTTAATCCTTCCGTGCCTCAATTTCCTATCAGTGAAATGGAGATAACAGTTGGATTCGCCTCATAGGATTTTAGTGGGGTGAAATGTATTAATGCACATAAAGCACTTAGCACAGTGCCTGGCACACAGTAAGTGTTCAATGAAGGACAGATATTCTTTTATCTGCCTACCTCTGTTACTGGACTGGGAGCTCCTTGTGAGCAGGGATTGTGGCTCATTGTTCCCTGTATCTTGGCACCTAGCACAAGGCACCAAGGTTAGGTGCTCAGGAAATGTCATGGATTGAATTGTTTCCCCCCAAAATACATGTCAACTTGGCTAGGTCATGATTCCCAGTATTGTGTGATTGTGCACCATTTGGTTATCTGATGTGATTTTCCTATGTGTTGTAAATCCTGCCTCTATGATGTTAATGATGTGGGAGCGACAGTTATGTTAACAAGGCAGGACTCAATCTACAATCTTAGGGTTGTGTCTTAAGCCAGTCTCTTTTGAGATATAAAAGAGAAGCAAGCAGAGAGACATGGGGACCTCATACCACAAAGAAAGCAGCACCGGGAGCAGAACGCGTCCTTTGGACCCAGCGTTTCTGCGTGAGAAGCTCCTAGACAAGGGGAAGATTGAGGACAAGGACCTTCGCCCAGAACCAGCAGAGAGAGAAGGCCTTTCCCTAGAGCTGGTGCCCTGAATTTGGACTTCTAGCCCACTGGACTGTGAGAGAATAAATTTCTCTTTGTTAAAGCCATCCACTTGTGGTATTTCTGTTACAGCAGCACTAGATAACTAAGACAGGAAATATTCACTGAATTATTCTGTAATGTGAGGGTTTGGAGGTGCCATTCAGAAGTGGCCCAGCAGCTCCACATCAATTCTTCCTGAAAGCAAGCACCTAGGTTCGAGTTCTGCTCTATCACCATGTGACTTTGCCTTTCTTCTCTGTTAGCTTCACCTTCTTCACTGAAAAATATCTACTTCCTAGGGTGACATGGCGGTTAAATGGGATTGGCTTCAGGGATGGAGCATGTGACCCAGGTCTGGCCAATGAAAGCACTGGTTTCTTGAACTGTGCTTACTTCAGGGATGATCATGTGACCCATGCTGGCCCAGCAGGAAAGACCCTCAGGAATATGACAGAAGTTACTGGAAAAGGGTTGCTTTTTCCTTTTGGGGCTAGAATGTGGGGGAATTTGGGGCTGTAGTGACTGCAGCTGTATTGTGACCACTATGAGAGGACCTGGAGTTATGGACGCTGGAAGGAGCAGAGGTGAGGGGTCTAGGGGGCAACAGGGAGATTGGGAATGAAGCCAACACTGCAGGGCCAAAAGATGTTTATGGCCCCAGGGGATTAATCAATATTGCCAATCATGGCCACCTCTTCTTTTTTCCAAGGATTGGCCTAAGGATAGACATGTGACCCAGTTTTAGCCAATGAGATAAGTCTTCTGGAAGCTTCTGGAAAAGATTTTGCTCACTGATAAAAGAGGAAGCCATATGAGAAGGCCTTTTTGCCCCTGCTTTCTCTTCCTGTACATTGTCATATGAAGACAAGATGCTTGGAGCTGCCACAGCCATCTTGTAACCATGAGGGTAGACCAAGTAGAATTGTCAGAGATAGAAGAGGAAAAATAAGGAAATACTGTAGGTTCTTGGTGGCATAACGGCTGAAAAAACAACTCTGAAGCCATTCATCTCTAGACTTCTTGTAAAGTTAGATAATAGATGCCTATGTCATTTGGGCCATTATTTGTTTGGCATTATTACTTGCAGCCACAAGCATTCCTAACTGATATAGCAATGTCTAAGAAGTATAGGATTATAGTTCTTCATCAAAAGAAGCACACAAAACTAAGAACATCAACTCCTTTATTATTATTATTATTAACTGTTATTTTCCCCTAAACAAAGGCACAACTCAAATAACAATGATATACACATCCCACCCATATACATAATACAACTAGCCTGCCTGTCAGGCTGTCTGGCCTTTGCTTGGTTCCTGGTGGGGCTGTCTAAAGATAGCCCCCTCTGTAAAAATCCCAACTTAGACGCAGAAGACTCAAGAAAGTGGGGACTTTAGCCAGAGAATAAACTAACAGGCTTCCAGAGCCCTTGGGGCGTGCCAGTTTGGGAACGTGCTGTAAATGCCTGGGCAGAGGGCAGAAGGCACTATTTGTTTTCATGTGTTTGGTAGATAAATCCTGTATAGAGATGTAAGACCTGTCTATAACCCTTTGGAGGTCTGAGCTTCAGGAACACAGTGGGTGAGCCAATGGGCTCCATCAACCAAACCGTGGAGCAGGCATGGAAATTGGGAGTCCAGAATAGGAATCCGGGTGATGGAGCGGTCCCCAGAGAAAAACAAACCTTGCATTAAGCCATAAGATAAGATACGATGTGAAATGTTAAGTCCCCTTTCTATTTGTTTGCAGCTACAGAATGTGCAACATTTTCATTACGATAGAAAAGATAAAGACAGAAACTCCTAGCATTTTGGCCTAACGCAACTGAGCATGACTTGTCAATTGCGCCATTTTATGGAGAAACCTGTTACTACACTATCCAGGGAATCTGTGGTCAAATCTCGTCCACCTCCCCCCAACATATTAATCACACTAAATCTATCAGTTCAGCTAAAGTGATGTACTCCGGAATCAGAGAAGCCCTGGGGTTGGGGAGGGAACAAGGATGGGCCAAGGCTGGCATCTCAGGTACAGGTAACTTCCTGGCTGTCTTGGGGAAGCTCGTTGTTGAAACTGCTCTCTCCAAATGGTGAATAAGGGGGGACCTGGGGAGCTTCGATGATCAGGAGGCCTTCTGGGGAAAGTGAGGCAAATACTGTCACAGGATCCACCTCTGCAGGAAGCCTAGGAGAAGCACAAGGTTTTATTTATTATTTTTAGTATAGCTTAAACATTCTTTTATTGATTTGAAGGAAATATTTTTGATAAGAGCTTTGGCTTTGCATACAACGTTGTGTTTGAATCCTAGCTCTGCCCCTTCTAGTGTGTGATCTTGGGGAGGCCACTCAATTGCTCTGAGCTTGTTTCCTCATCTGTAAAATGAGACATAAGATAGATTCTGAAAATGCTTTGCAAATGGTAAGATGCTGATTGAACAGTAATTCTTGACTTGAAAGTGAGCTGTGGTCCAGGTGTGTAGGTCCTAGGTTGAAGCCTCCTCATCTTAGCACTCTTCTCGTCTTAGCACCCACGATTGATAGGCTACGGGCAGAAATGGTCACCATTATGTCCCTTTGGGAGTCCCCGGGCAGGTGGTGCAAATTGTTAATGCCCTTGCTACTGACCAAAATGTTGGAGGTTTGAGTCTATCCAGAGGCATCTCGGAAGAAAGGCCTGGCAATCTACTTCCCCCAAAAATCAGCCAGTTCTACTCTGACGTACATGGTGTCGTCATGAATCAGTGTTGACTAGATGGCAACTGGTTTGTTTTTTTAGTCTCTATTACTTGCTACTTTCCCTTTTTCACAAAAAAAAAAGAGCTGACCTAAGGCTTAAGCCCCTAGGCAGGCAAAATTATTTTGTTAGAATTTAACCATGTTTTGCTTTCATTGGATGTATTTTCACGGTTGCCTCCTTCAGTGAAAACTTTAGTAATGAGAACTTAATCAAAGTGAGGTGCTCTAAAAGGAAAAAAAAAAATCTTAAGCAAATAATAGTACAGACTGTAAGCATGTAAGGCAAAAATAATAAGGTGGTGTGTGAATGACTGTAGTTAAGTCTCCCCTAAACAGGAAGATCATGGACTTTGACAGTGAGGAGACTTGTGTTCACATCCCAGATCAGCTCGCTACCAGCTGTGTGACTGGTTGACTTTTGTCACCCCTCTGAGCCTCAGTTTCCTCTCCATAAAATGGGTTTAGTAATACTTACTCTCTGCTATGAGATTTTTGTAAGGATTAAATTACATTGAACTGATTAAGCTCAGCATGGCTACTGGCACACCATACGTGTCAATAAATGGTAGAACAGATGTCTGGGAAGATGTGGAGCAAGGAAACGGAAGTTTGCTTTGGCTGTGTGCATTCTCTGTTGATGGTTCCTGCCTCCCCCACTTCCTGTTCTCTTGTCCAAGTTGGACGTGGAAAATAGCCCATCTGTGGTCCTTCTTGCCCTGCCCCCAACCTGATGGGTAAATTCCAAGACCCCTCTTCCTCCCCAGTCAAAATGGGGCCTTTCACATGGGGATGAATGTGTTGGGGTGAACGTCCTAGCCATGGATAGGACATACAGCTCGTGTCTCCCCAGTTTCCTGCCTGGATGGAAATCTCCGAGGATCCAGCTTGGTTTTAAGGGGCTTTCCTGTCCTCTAAAGACATAATTTTTTTTCTAAGAGAGGCAACGTGACCTCCTAAGAGTTGCCCATGGCCATCGCAGACTGCAGTCCAACTCCCTGGTGCCTGAGTCTGGGCAGAGCCTTTCCTTGTCCCAGCGGCTCTCGTGTGAGTTCCCACGGCTGAGCACCATCTCTGTCCCCCGTGCTCACAGCTTTACACACATCCTCTTACTCCCCAGCACAACCCCATCCATGAGGAAGCGAGGACCAGAAGCTCAGAGCAGTTACACAAGTTGCACAAAATTACCCACTTATGTTACTGTGCAACTGGGACTCCCTACACTCGGGTAAGACTGGAAATACTTAGCAACTGGCCCAGCTAAGCACTGAATCAGAAATGATACATGCGTGTTATGGTGCTAGAAGACGGCCCTAGGGACCCCCTGCTAGACCAGGTGTTAACCTTTAGTTGTTGGAATATGACAGGGATTGGAGGGTCCTGGGGACAGGGCCAGGGTGGCAAATTGGCTGGGGTGGGCACTTCGGGGTGTCAGGGCAATCAGTGGCTTGTTGTTACATGTTGTCAAGTCAGTTCTGACTCATGGTGACCCCATGTTTGCAGAGTAGAGCTGCTCCATTGGGTTTTCAAGGCTGTGACCTTTCAGGTGCAGATCACCAGGCCTTACTTCTGAGGTGCTTTTGGTGGGTTTGAACCACCAACTTTTCAGTTAGTAGTCCAGCACTTAACTGTTTGTACCACCCAGGTCACACTAGTCAATGGCTAGTTCCCTATTTTAACAACTAGCCCAGCTCAGCTGCTGAGCACCAGCTGAATAGCCTCTCTGCCTCAAGCAACTTCAGGCATTTCTATCTGGTCAAGTAACTCCTCCCCACTGAAGGGCTGTCTCTTTAAGATGATTATCACCCACTTCTTTCCGGCTTGGTCCCTTTCACAGTTCTGCTGTGCCCGTGGCTCCATCCAGATACCTTGTGTGAGTCTTTTGTGAGTCTTTTTGAATCATTGGCTCCCTCCTGCTCCTGTTTCCACATTAGATCGGGTGGCTGTGCTAGGGAGAGGTGCAGTCATGGGATGACAGGCAAGCCATTGATGGAGGAGGAAATTGGTTTGACATTTGCCTTATCAGAGGTGTCCATGGGCTTCCAAGAACTCTGAAGGCTTTGGGAGGGTCAGGAATGGGCACGTGGCGGGAGAGTCAGGGCTGCAGAATCACAGGCTACAAGAAGCCTGAGAATGCAGCTAGTGTAATCTGCACAGGCCTGGGGCATCTTTGCCAGGGTTGGTGGTGGAGTTAAGGTTCATTAATAATAATAACCATGACAACTACAACACACTGCCACTTGTGATGGCCTACTATGTGCTTGTCACTGTGCCGTTATCTCATTTAATTTTCTGTTGGTAACTCTGCAAAGTCCCCAGATGGTGCAACTGGTTAAGCGCTCGACTACTAACTGAAAGGTTGGCAGTTCAAACCCACCCAGAGGTGCCTCAGAAGAAAGACCTGGCGATCTGCTTTTGAAAGGTGACAGCCTTGAAAACCCTATTGAGCTGTTCCGCTCTGCACACGTAGGGTCACCATGAGTCGGAATCAACTCAACGGCCACTGGTTTTGTTTTGTTTGTTTTTAACTCTGCAAAGCTGGCCTCAGCATCCATTTTATGGATGAGGAAACAGCATTGCTTGCACAAGGCCTGAACACTGAGCTCACAGGTTAGGAGCACTGTTTGGAGCTGCCCTAAATTCCAGTTGTAAGGACCTCAAGCATGTCCTTTCTCCTCTGGGAGACAGTCTCCGCAATCCCAGGAGGGCAACGGCTCTTCTCCCCACTGCACAGCTTTGCTGCAAAGGTAAGTGCAGTGTTGCCTGCGAAAAGACTTTGGGACAGACATGCATGTAGTAGGGTGGTGCTGGTTAGCAATAAGGCATGTCTGTGAAGCACCTGGATGGTGCAAGCGGCTAATGCGCTTGGCTGCTAACTGAAAGATTGGAGGTTTGAGTCCACCCAGAGGCACCTCAGAAGAAAGGCCGGGTGATCTACTTAGGAAAAGTCAGCCATTGAAAACTCTACAACGCATAGTTCTTCTCTGACATATAGGGAGTCACCATGAGTCAGCTGACTTATTGGCAACTGTTTTTTTTTGATGAACCACCTAGCAGCTGTCCCACGAATACAGCCATGTTCTCCCTGCAGGTATTGCCAGGTAGGGGCTCCATGTGGCTCTGCTGGCCATCCTGCTGTGCTCATGATTCCCAAAGGCCCAGCCCTTCCTGTTAAACCCCATCAGTTCCTTCCACTCACCCTCCTCAACAAAGTGTGGCCTTCCTTTGTCCCAGTCTCTCAGCCTCAAGACCCCTAGCATTGAGATCAGGACATCTTTCAACTTAATCTTTGTGGATGCTATAGGGAAGGTGTTACACTGTCCCAGGCCATGGGAAAGTTAGAGCAGGCAGCCTTCCAGAGTGATTCTATCAGGGCATTTTGGGTGGGTGAGTGTCCTGGTTCTCCATGTGATTGTGCAGAAGCCATTTCACCTCTCTTGCTCTCAGATTCCTCACCTATGAGATTATGAACACCCACCTCACAGGGCAATGAGCAGATGAGATGATGCAGCCTGTGTACTCCCCCATCTCCTTCTGGGGTCCTCTTGCAGGTTTGCGGTGACACTTTCTCCCCTTTAGTTGTGAGGGTCTATTCTCTGCCTCTGGGGGTATCTCGAGGGAGAGATGCTCAAGAGGGAGAGACCTAGATCTTGGGTCCCAGGCACCCCAGCTCCTCCACCCCTACCCCAAGATCAACACTTGAAAGTTAAAAACCAAAACCAAACCAGTTGAACAGTACAACCAAAACAGAAGTATTGAGAATGTTCACACATTATTAAGAATATAACCGATGTCACTGGGCAATTTGTGTTGAAATTGTTGAATGGGAGCCTAAACTGCTATGTAAACCTTCCCTGGAAACACAGTAAAATATTATTTAAAAAAAGAAAAGAAAACCAGTTGCCGTCAAGTTGATCCCGACTCAGGGCGACCCCATGCATGCAGAGTGGAACTGCTCCATAGAGTTTTCAAGGCTGTGACCTTTGGGAAGCAGATCACCAGGGCTTTCTTCCAGGGTGCCTCCTCTGGATGGGTTCCAACTGCCAACCTTTTGGTTAGTAGTCAAGGATATAACCAGTTGCACCACCCGGAGATTCTACTTGGAGGTTACTTACTGGATTTTCTTTGTGAAGTTCTTGGAAACGATGCCACCTTCTTGCTGTTTCTCTTCGTGTTTGCCTGGAAGGGAGAGAAATAAGTCACATGTCAATATTCATGTTGCTTGAACATCGTTCAGGACTCAGACTCAGATTCAAATCCTGATGCTGCCCCTACCTTGCTGTGTGGCTTGGACTAGAGAGTCCAGTTGCCCAAGCCTCAGATCCCTCATCTGTTAAATGGACCCACTTAAGCCCACCTCCCAAGCTGGTGGTGGAGATGGATTAAGATAATGGATAGGAAAGAAGGCCTTGAGCACGGTTTGGAGACAATTATCCATTGTTGTTGTTGTGTGTTGTTGCATCGATTTTGGACTCTTAGCGACCCCACGTGACAGAGTCTGACTGCTCCATAATGTTTTCTAGGATGTAATCTTTTCGGGACCAGATTGCCAGGTCTTCCTCCCGTGGAGCAGCGGGATGGGTTCAAACTGTCATCATTTCGGTTAGTAGCTGAGTGCTGCTTTCATGGGAAATCACAGGAACTGGACCATATGTTACACCATATCTTCCAAGTTTCAAATTTGCCTCCTTGGTCCCCAACCTGCAGTGGAACCCTAAGGCTAACATCCCAGACTGGAAGGGATGGTAGAGCAGAAGTGGGGTCGTATATCCTGAGGGCTAGATGCAAACCCAGCTTGCTTTACCAGTACCAGTGGCTGTCGAGTTGATTCCAACTCATGGCAACTCCATGTGTGTCAGAGTAGAACTGTGCTCCTTAGGGTTTTCAATGGCTGATTTTTTGGAAGTAGATCGCCAGGCCTTTTTTCTGAGGTGCCTCTGGGTGGACTCGAATCCACATTAGCTGTTTGTACCACCCAGGAACTCCCTCCTTAAGAAAGGACAGGTTAAATACCATGGATTTGAAACGCCACCTGCCCCAACTCCTACAGGATACCGGAGTGGGGTTGGGGGAGGGGGCTTTTTTCCGTTAGGAAGGAAAAGGTGGAATTAGAAGAAGGGTTGAGCCCAAGCTGGCTTTTATCCTGCAATTTATGTAACAAATTCTGATCCTCTTAGCCCCTCCCCACTCTTCGTTTCTTCCACGGACAGACTGTGTCTTACTTCTCTTCAAACAAACTGGATCAGGACACACCAGAGCTGTCTCACTATCACGTTTCCCTCCTCACTTGTCAAGCCACATTCCAGAGCCAAAACCCCTCATTTACACGCGGGAGTCCCCTCTGAGGGCTTCAGAACCTGGATTGTAAGTAACTTCCCTAGGCTGTAGTGCCTTTTTGCAGTCCAGTTTTTCTTTTTAAACTGGCAATTTATAGGTGATTATATCATCAATAATGTTTTTATTATTATTCCTTTGTTAATAACTTTTTTCTGATTATAAAATAATCCATGTTTTGTTAGAAAATGTAGAAAACAAAGAAAAATAAATCAAAACCACCCATAATCCCGTCACCTTGAAGAAACCACTAACAATGATTCGGTGTAGGTCTTCCCAGACTTTTCTTTCTGTGTTTACTTAGTTATATATATAGATGGAGCCCTAGTGGCACGGTGGTTAAGAGCTCAGCTGCTAACCGAAAGGTCAGCCGTTTGAAACTACTAACTGCTCCTTGGAAACGCTATGGGGTTTCTACTCTGTCCTATAGGGTCGCTATGAGTCAGAATCAACTCGACAGCAACAGGTTTGGTTTTTTGGTGTAGACATATATTCCATGTTTTACCAAATGAGATCATACTGTAGATTGCGTTTTGAAATTGCCAACGCATTATAATTATTATCCCACGTTACACCAAATACTCTTGACATGATACTTAATGGCCGCACAGCACACTGAATGAATATATAATAAGTCTTCTAGACAGTTCCCTACTTGTTGGCATCGAGATGGTTTCCAACACTGGAACAAACCTCACTGCATTGAACATGCTAGTAGCTAAATCTTCTCACTAGGCCAGTGATTTCTTTAGGATAAATTCCAAGCTCTAGAATTTCTAAGGCTTGATCTATATTGCCAAATTGACCCCAGGAAAGCCGGTACCAATTTATTCTCCTTTTAGCAGGGCAGAAAGGTGTACATTTAAAGAAACTCATTTTTTAGACTGGAAAATCTGCCTAACCAGAACATGCTATTCTGTGAATGAGAGTTTATTCTGTGCTGCCAAGTTGGTGACCACCAGCTGCTTAGTTCTAGCATAGGCCTGTGGCCAGAGACGAGTTCCATTTGTTCTTTCCCCAGTCTCCTCCCCGAAGCCTGGGCCTCCAGAGGCCTGCTGCCCCTGGGGAGAGGCCAGTGCCTCTGACTCAGCCCTTCTGCATCCTGGAATCCTCTTACACGCTTGGTGCCCTGGAAATAATAAACTGTGATGATGATAAGAAGAATAATAGCAAACTCTTACTGTTGGTGTCGGCCACTGTTCTAAGCACTTTATCTTTATCAACTCCTTTAATTCTCACAGCAACTTTTGTCATTACCATTTTGTGGACAAGGAAACAGGAGTTCAGAGCAGTTAAGTGACTTGCCCAAGGTCACACAGCTTTGAAGGGATGGAGCAAAGATTCAAAAGCAGGCAGATGGGCTCCAGAATGCTAGGTTTGGGTATTGAGTCCCTGTTCTGCCATTTTCTAGAACATCTCTCCCCTTCTCTGAGCCTCAGTTTATTCTTCTCTAAAATGGGGGTGACAATACCTACCTTAGTGGGTTACTATGAGGAAGGAATGAGAGGGAGTCACAGAATCACTTTGTAAGTTGTAAAAACACTGTTCGAAGGTGAGCGCATGTGGTTTAGTTTGATATTTGAGAAAAGGACTGTTCATCAGAAGCTAAGGCTCCTTGTTCTTGTTCTGAAAATGGGATATTGGGGTTAGGGAAGAGAGGATCTCTAAGCAGGGGCAGCCCTGCGATTTCCATAAGAAGGGGCCTGGGGAGGGGGTTAATCTGGTTGAAAGAAGATACTACTAAGTGGATCCCCTTGAAGCTTTATTTGCATATAATTTGCATACTCAGATTGAGGGGCAGTTTAAGGATAATAAGTGATTTTTAATTTTTTATTTTGTTTTCCTATCTACATTTTCTACCATGAAAATATTTTTATAGACAGAAGCAAGTAGTTATTATGATTTCTTTTTGTAAAAAGAAATCACCTAGAGATCAGGGGAATCCAGACGCCCTTTGCAGCTGCCATTTTCTCAGCATGCCTCAGAGAAACAGAAGCGTCAAGGAGCAGACACCCGCGCTTAGGGAAAGCTACTGGCCCAGCTAAAGAAAGAAGGTGCTGTTTCCAGGGGAGGCAGAGGCCTGGGGATTAAGGAGAAGGAACAGGAATAAGCCTTGGGGCTTTCCAGTCTCTTCCCTGGCCAGGACTGGCCCAGTGGCCCGTGAAAGGAACATTTCTTGGCTGGTGGCTGCAGGGTGCGTTGGAGGGGGGATGGGGGGATGAGACACGGTGGAGATTGTCTGGTCTAGCATTTTCCAAATACTTGCCCAGAGCTAGACACTCATATATGCTTAGATAAGATAGAGCCATCTCTCAGAGATTCATAAACTACTTTAGCAATTTAAAGGCTCTGATAAGTCCTGCAGTGAGGGACCTGTTCATAGATTTGTTTCATCTGGCACCTTCTAAAACTCCAGCTGCAACTGAGGCAGCTGAAGCCTAGAAAGGGAACATAACTTCTCCTCTCTCCTGTTTCTCAGATGCCTAGTAACGCCTTGCAGTACATGGTTTGGCAAATATCAATTTGTCCACTTCCCTGTAAGATCAGTGGTGAAGCTGAGGCCCAAGAGGTGGTAGGATTTGTGCAGGCCCACAGTCAGAAACAGGTCCAGCCGTCTGGACCCGGAGCAGTCCAGGCAGGCCTGGCTTTGAATCTCAGACACTGCCCCAGAGAAGCGGGTAATCTCAGGTGAGATACTTCCTCTGGGCCTCAGTTTCCTCATCTGTGAAATGGGGGTGACAGTCATACCCACAGTTCCTCAGAGGTCCTTGTGAGGGAAAAGTGAGCCAATGTATGTAGGCAGTTAGCACAGTGTCCAGCACAAAACGATTCCTGAAGAACAGACTTGTCATTATGCAGCGTAGGATGGGAGGCCAGTCTGACTCTTGATTTCCCATGAAAGTCCTTGGATGTGACTTTTTTAAACTCCTTTTATGAAAGTCCTTGTGTGTACTCTCAGGGGATTTGGATTCTGTCAAGCTGGGGTTACTGATTACATATCTGTGAGGCATTTTATAACCTAAAAAGGTTTTGCCAGTCTTTGTTCTATTTAAGCCCCCAACCTCCCCAATTATACAGATGGAGAAATTGAGGCTCCTTACTCACCCAAAGCTGGGATCTTGGCCTGGGGCCACTAGACCCCACCTGTTAAGAAGCACCTACAAAGAAGGACGGAGGAAAAGCACTCCAGGCTGGACAGAGGGTCTGCTGGAGGGGCCATGGGACGTGGGAGACCCTCGGCCCTGAGCTGGAAGCCTCTGGGATCGTGATTACAATGAGGGTAAGAGGAGTGCAGGCAGGGCACTGTGATGAGCCGCATGTTACAGGCACTCTGCGTGTATTATCATAGATTATGTATTTAGTCCTCCCTGCAGCCTTATAGGATAGATAGTATTAGGGTCTGCCATTCTGCAAACGGGACAACTGAGGCTCAGAGCGGGTGAAAAGACTTTCTTGTCCATATCCATCCAGCTAGTGAACAGAGGTGCCAGGATTTCAACCCAGGTCTCAACCCAGCTTCTACTATTTATTATGTACTAGGCTGTACTGGAGCCCTGGTGGTGCAGTGGTTAAGAGCGCAGGCTGCTAACCAAAAGGTCAGCAGTTCGAATCTACCAGCCGCTCCTTGGAAACCCTATGGGGCAGTTCTGTTCTGTCCTATAGGGTCTCCATGAATCAGAATCGACTCAACGGCACGCAACAACAACAACTACAGGGCTGTAGGATGCATCTGGCACTTTAATAACAGCAACAGCTGTAATAACAATACAGGCGCTTTGGGTGCGAGGCACTCTGGACACCCTTGATGTGCATCCCCTCAGGACAATCCTTGTGAGGCATCACTGTTTTGAACCACATTTTCCAGATAAGGAAACTGAGGCTCAGAGAACTTAAGTTGTCTGCACGTCCTGCTAGCTGGTGGCGATGCCAGTTTGGGAACTTGTCCTTGGCCCCCAGCCAGCTCGGAGAGCCCTGGCTGACAGCCCATCAGCATGCGCCCTGGCGCATCCGTGGGCCCACCACGCCCGCCGAGGCCTCTGCTGTTTATGCTTCTGCCTGCGCAGCTTTGAAACTCCCCCGAGCGTTGCTGGGGCTTGTCCCTGCTTGGCCTGTGTTTGCAGTGGCTTTTATTGATTTCCTGGCTGGCAGGCCTCTGCCAGGAAAACACTCTTTTTAATGGAGCATTAATTGGAAGGGAAGCAAGGAAAGCTTTTTGTGCTGCTTTTTGGAGCCAGAGCTGAGTCTGAGTCCTTTTCCACAGAGTTTTTCCCTCTCCTGGGATGGACAGGCCCAGACTCGCCTCAGTCCTGCTGCTGACTCATGGCGTAACCTTGGACAGTCCGTGAGGGCCTCAGCTTCCTCAGCTGCAAAATGGGACTAGACATCTGGCTTCTTGGGGCTGGAATGAGGACGTCGTGGGATAAGGAATATAAGAATTGTAGCCCAGTCCTTGGCACCTAGTAGATGTTTCATAAATCATGAGTACTCTTCTCAGCCCCCAATTCCCAGACGGCCTAGGTTTCGATACTGGGCAGCCTTGGGCAAGTAACTTCAACCTCTGTGTGCTTCAGTTTCCTCATCTGTTAAAAGAGGAGACAAGCAGACTTATCTCCTAGGATTGTTGTATTAACTGAGATGCTACAGGTAAAGGGCTTAGCATGGGGCCTTCTAGATTGTAAGCACTCAGTGAAGGCTACCGGTTATTATCATCATCATCACTATTAAGCCTGTTTCCTTATCTGTGACAAGGGGAGGTGTTTCACTTGTAACCTGTGATGGTTATTAACACGATCATCTCCCAGCTTCAAACTGTCCCTTCCAGACCCTGCTTTGTGCTGCTGGGGTGCAGTAAACCCCACTTCTCCTTTGTGTTTTTAGTCCTGCAATGGTTGTTCAACCTGTTCTTTATGTTTCATTCTGTCAAAGTATCTGACATGGTTTCTGTTTTCCTGCCTGACCTCTGATTGACACAGCACCCATAGCTGGGTCAGGTTAGGATTTCTCCTGAAAGCTGGAGAAGGAGAGCTTTTCCATAAGATAACTTTTCGGGCTGCATTCCTGAACCCTGAAGTCACCTGTGGCATGGTGTCACAGCTTCCCCTCTAAGGAAGCCCTCTCTTGGCTATTCCAGGGTGAGGCCTACTGTTCACTTCCTCTCCTCCCAGTTCTCACTCCCTGCCCTCCTGCCCGACTCACCAGACACCTCCACGTATCCGTCCTTGGTCTTCACCATCAGCTCCTCTGGCTTGAAGCTGTGCACGTTGACGCACACTTTCCAGGGCTCCCCAGGAAAGGGTGGGGGGCTCCTGCCCTCTGCAGGTACCCCGAACCTAGCCGTGGTGGTGGGAGCCCGGGGCACCATGCCCGACCTCAGGGTCCCTGGCCAGGCCGAGGAGAGCCGGGGCAGGGCCCAGTCAGGCCAGGAGGCGGTCAAGTCGTCGGGGAAGGGGTCCATGCCAAAGCCATCGTCCAGCAGGCGTGAGGAGAGGGGCGAGTCCCGGAAGGGGTCTCGGCGGAGACGGCTTGGGTAGTGGCAGGAGAAGGGCATCTGACCATCAGCCATGGCGGCTCTGAGCTTGGAGGGGAAAACGAGGCTCAGAGAAAGGGAGCTGCTGCCAAAGTCACTCAGCAAGGTGATGTGGTGGGCTGGTCTTCAACACGTATTCTTCAGCCACAGAAAATGCTGATCTTCTGTTAGGGGCGCCCAGAGCAGAACCATCCACTGCCAAAGACTGAAGCACCCACCCAGCTGGGGTTCGAGCCCCCAAAGACACGCCAGTATCAGAGGTGACCCCACTGGTCCTGCAGAATCCCAGAGGGCCCCTCTCCCACGACCTCACCAGAAATCAGCAAGCCACCCGCCGTCCTCCAGGCTGCCCAGGCTTGCAGCCAGAGCTGCTGAGGTCTGGAGTGGAGCCAGGAGCTTAATAAACCCCAGAGACGCGCCTAGAAACTTCTCCTCGCTTCTCCTGGGCTAGGAGCCTCCTATTTATTTGCTGCTGGGGGCTGGGGGCGGGTTTTGCAGGCGCCTCCTGTCACAGGAGTATTCGGAGGTGATGAACCAGCCCTGGAGAATCCACTGAGGGAACAGCTGGGAGGGGCCATGGTGTCCAAGTTTAGCCAGCCTCCTCCAGACTCTCTCTCTCCGCCTGCCGGTTGTCAGCTCCGCCCTCGGGCTCCCTCTCCCGGAGCCCGCCCACCCTGGAAGCTGGGCCCTAAATCCTGGCTATTAATAACCCTCCCGCCTGGCTGAGGGCTCAGGTCACCTTCTGGAAATACCTTCCCCAGAGCATGTTGCACCCTGCCTCTCTCTGGGGACATTCAGAAAGGGAAGAGAGTCACAGGGGCCCAGTGGACTTGAAGGCAGGTGGCCCTGGGCTGGATTCCCCACCTTCAAGCTTGGCTCCTTGTTCAAACTCTCAGGGCCTCAGTGTTCTCCAAGGGCAGTAACATTTTTTCCCAGGTAGCCCTGACAGTTTTCAGTTTTCCCACCTGTAAAAGGGACATAATAATAGTAGCCTCCTCATGGATGTGTCATGACGAATACATGAGGCCATGCCCATTAAGCATCTAGCAGACTGATCAACACTTTCATATTTTAAATTTTGAATGATCAATTATATAACGCTTGTGAAATGCCAGGCACTCTTCTGAGTGTTTTACAAACGTTAACTGGTGTAACCCTCATCAACAACATAGTTGTTGCTGGTTGCTGTCGGGTCAGTTCCAACTCGTGGCAACCGGCTCATCTTCCAGCACTGTACTGGGCAATGTAGTTGTGATCCATAGCGTTTTCATTAGCTGATTTTTGGAAGTAGATCACCAGGCCTTTTCTTCCTAGTCAGTCTTAGTCAGGAAGCTCTGCTGAAACCTGTCCACCATGGGTGACCCCGCTGGTATTTGAAATACTGGTGAAATGGCCTCCGGCATCCTAGCAACACTCAAGCCACCACAGTTCGACAAACTGACAGACATGGTGGAACAACCCAGTAAGGGTACTATTATTATCTCCATTTTACAGATGTGGAAACTGACATGGAAAGCATGAACAAATGGCAGCTTCTATTACGACTGTGACTATTAGCACTGGTAATTATCAGAAGGTGCTTTACTCAGACAGGATGTCTGGTCTAAAACTCAAAGTCCAGAGACAACCCATTTTCTAGACTTCCCTGCTATTGCCCTGTAGCTTGGAGGATGAGTTTACAAATCATCCTGAAGACCCCTTGGGGTCTTTGTTGTGTCCCCAACAGGTGGGCCACCTTGGGCACCCCCCTTCCGCTTTGTGAGCCTCAGGGTCTCAGCCCTGTCTTCTCCATGTGCTGGGGGCAGGCTAGGGTGCTAAGGAATCCAGTGAGACATTGGTTGAGAAATTATTTTGAAGGTTAAGGAGTGCCCACATGAGGCAGTTTGCTAAAGATAATAATATGGAGAACAGCCACGATCAGCATCATGTACTGCTTCCTACATCTGCCACTGCAGTGAGCATGGTGCCAACATTATCATGTTACCAACCACCAGTTGCCATTGAGTCAACTCTGACTCGTGGCGACCCTATGTGTGTCAGAGTAGGGTTTTCAGTGGCTGATTTTTCGGAAATAGATTGCCAGGCCTTTCTTTCAACGTGCTTCTGGGTGGGCTCAAACTCCAATCTTTAGGTTAACCATTTGCACTACCAAGGGACTCCATTGTCATGTTAAACAATCACTATCATCATCATCCTATTCTGCAGGCAAGGAAACAGAGGTGTTAGGTATATTAACTCATGGTATCCTCCCCACAACCCTACAAGGAAAGGGCTTATCGTCCCCATTTTACAGAAGAGTGTATTTAGGCACAGAGGGGTCACATATCTTGCTCATGTCTACACACCTGGTTAAGTGGCCCTTGCATGCAACTGTGGAGTAGCAGGACCTTGGAAGGGGGACTGGGTTGTTCTGGATCCCAGGTCTGTGATGACCCCCTCCCTCTCCATCCAGAGACTGAGGGAGTGAGTGGAGGTCCCACGTCATGTCCAAGTGACTGGGCCCTCACTTGACCAGGGTGAGCTCACCAGGATAGAAGCTTTAGGATGACGTCATGGCTGGGCATGGGAGCCTCAGCTCTCTCTGTAATTACAGCTGGGGCAGGGCCTTCCAGGCCTGGAGCCAGTGGTGGGGAGAATCACTGCCTGACACACAGGAGAAATCTGTCATTGCCTGGGACCTGGGTGGGGAGTGGGGGTGAGGTTTCTGGTGGGTGGGACTGGGTTGGGGTGGCTTGGCCCATGGGGAGCCCGTGTATGGATTTGTGTGGGTGGAGTGATGAGTGTGTGTTTTTGTGTGATGGGCTGTGTTTATTTATGGATGAGTCCGCTGGGGGTGTGTTTGCCTGGAAGAACTTTCTCCTCCCTCCCCAGGTCTCCCTTCTGCAGCCTAACCCTCTGAAAGACCCCTCCGCCTAGAACAAGGCTCACCTGGCCTTCCTGCCCACCTGTACCCTGAGTTGGGACATCTCATTGTGTTCCAAGGATCCCAGAGATCAGGGCAAAGGGAGGATGGAGATGGAACTAGATGACCTAATCCACCTCCTCATTTCAAGGAGGCTGGCACTGAGGCCGGGGGAGGGAGGGAAGATGCGCAGCTAGAAAATAGAAATACCAATCATTAGCATTTATTGGGCAGTTGCTGTTTGCCAGACACTGTCTAAGCATTTTAAGTTTATGTTTAACCATCTTAGGTTAGCAGGTGAACGGAGTCCCTCAACAGTGGGCTATGGGACTGTGTTACAAACGCAGTGAGGCAGAGACCAGGAAAACAGGAAGTAGGAAAGATACTGGTTTGCAGCCTGGGCCACTTCAACGTGTTGCCCATCACCAAGAAAAACTGGGTAGTGTGGACCTTCCCATCCCACTCTCCAAAAAAAAAAAGAAGAAAATTTATGTGAACTAACTGATAGAATATCCTCCCCACAACCCTAGATGGAAGAAAACTTTATCATCCTCGTTTTACAGATGAGTATACTGAGGCACAGAGAGGTCACGTGACTCACGTATGTTTACATACCTGGTAAAGTGGCAGAGCTGGGATTCAAACCTAGGCCTTTTGGCTCTTAACCTCCTGCTACCCTACTTCTTACATAGTAGTAATGGCTCATATTTATTGAGCACTTACCGTATACCAAGACCTGTGCGTAGCACTTTATATTCATGACTTCATTGAATCCTCATGGTTCAGAGAGGTAAAGCCACCTGCCTCAGGCCACACAGCTGGGACTTGGGAGCCCACAGACATCACCAGAAGGGGACTTGATGGCCCAGGGCTTGTCCTGTGATCCTCCCATGCTGCCCAGTGTCTTGTTCCCTCTTGGGCTCTCACTGCATTTCTGGGTCAGGCCGCCCTTCTGTTTTGGGAAGCTGAGGAGGGAGGCAGCTGCTTGTCCTGCTGACGCAGCATCCTCACTCGGGCAGAAAGTGGTCAGTAAATCCCACGGGCTGTCACCAGCCCAGTGAAAATAGGGGTCAGGCCCAGGAGGGGAAGGTGCCTTCAGTCATTCTCCCACAGAAGGAAAGATGGGGGCACGGGAGCAATGTGCATAGGGAGGAAGGTTAGGTCCCAGGTCATAGAGCAAAGACTGTTGCTGCAGCCATCGCCTTGGAATTTTCACACGGGAAGTACCATAATTAATCCTAAGACAGACTGCCCAGGGAGAGGGTGACATCACCCACATTCCTGAGACTGGGGCCCAGAGGGGAGAAGGGGTGGCCAGAAGTCACACAGGTAGAGCCAGGGCAGGGACACAGTTTTGTCAGATGCAAGATTCGGTGCTGTTTCTTTCCACTGCCGTAAGAAACGGAAGCTCACCCCCTCTCCTGGAGGATTTCCAGCCACCAGCCCTGTCCTAGCCTCACCCCTTAATCTGCCGTTCCATCCATCACTGGGTAGGGTCTGTAAGGATGGAAGGAGGGTCTCTGTGAATCCCTCAAAGGTGAGGTTTTCTGGAGGCCATCTTGGCCAAATGTTCGCCTACAATTCCAGGCACTTGCAATTCTCGTGTCTGGGTGGTGGTGGATCTGGTGGTCTCCCACATTTGCTCAGCCTCCAGCTCCAGGAAGACCCCTCTCAGAGTTTCCCCTCTCGGATGCCCCCAGAGCCCTCCACCAAAACCAAACCAAACCAGTTACCATGGAGTAGATTCGGACTCACGGCAATCCCACGTGTTTCAGAGTAGAACTGTGCTCCACAGGGTTTTCAGTGGCTGGTTTTTTGGAAGTAGATTGCCAGGCCTTTCTTCCAAGGTGCCTGTGGGTGGGTTTGAACTCCCAACCTTTCATTTAGTAGGCAGGTGCTTAACTATTTGTGCCAGCCAGGGACTCCTAGGAGCCCAGCACATCCTCCAGCAAATTGAAGATGAGTGTGCTTATGTCTTTTCCTTCCTTCCTTTTTTTAGACCCCCTGCAGATGACACAAGTGGAATTCCCAGCACGCGGAGCTCTATGAGGGCAAGACCCTTGGGCATCTCTCTCGCAGCGGCATCCCCAGTGCCTAGAAGGGTACCTGGCGCTTTGGAGGAGCTCAGCAAGTC